GGGTCGTCACAGCGGCCAACGACACTGCCTGTGTCCGCATCCTGACGGGCGGAATCCCGAGTGTTGGTCAGCGCGGAGATTGTCACAACGGCCCAGGGCAGGCTTTGTATGAGTCAGGCTAAAGACGATGATTGGCCCGGCCAGTCTGGAGTGCGCCCCAGTCACGCGAGGGCAACGGTTGTGAATGCGGACATGGGCAATCGCGCTGGATCCAGCGAGACAAAGAGACTAAGATTCCCACTGCGAGGCCACATCTGTGGCGTCTCACGTTTAGTGAAGGTGGACTGTAGAACCGCTACAGCTCCATTTGTTTCCATCTAGGTCAACTGAGCGATGGTTCTCGTCACGCGAGAAATCGAAAATTGACTGAATGCATGTGCTAGAGTTGAAGGCAGCCGCCTTAACACGCCACTTCGAAACGATTCGGTAGTCGCCTTTAATCTATAAATTAATAGTCACGCCTTTGTAAAAAGAACTAGAGGCGTATTTACACACGCACTTATGTACACACTTATCTGTAGTATTCCTAAAGAGAATAGGGTGACCGTAGTCACGGCTAGGCAACCATCTATCAGGCCAAACCCGACCAAACTTAGGTCATGAGTTTTACCGAAATGTTCAGTGCTGAACCGGGAGGTGCTAATATTATTTTCTCTGGTGTGCTTGTGAACATACTTCGTTTTTCTTTGACCGACTTTGCAGACTACCCCAGCGTCCAAACAGATTAGAGAGTGGCAGAATTCCCAAGCCAAGGAGTGAGAAACCATATGGCAAGACCTCAGAGCCGAGTCCATCTGAGAGCAGAACGGTCTTTCTGTCTCGCAGAGCAAGTCTTCCGGCGAGGAGTCCCCACCCCGGTAAATTGTTGGCCTTGGACCCACCAAAACGATGTCTCGAGAAGCCAACACCTCGAAAGATTAACTCCTCTACAAACAACGCGAGGAGAAGTACGCTTGACCCCAATTCAACGCATTTGCATCCAACAGTTGCCAGTGTAGTCATAAAAAGTCTGGACGGTGGTATGGTGGCCTACAAAGGCCTTGCGGAACTAGATCGGAAGGACGTCAACTTGGTGCTCAGGAGACCTGAACCAAGCCAGTCAAAGGTACGTCTAGAAATAAGCACAGCTCCTTTTGAACTGATTATTTTACCATCCATCCATTTTAGCAAGCCCAACAAAATTTCAGCGTCTACGTGATGCGATTATTCTTCCAATCAGGTCTCCCTTCCTTGCTCTAGCAGAAGCAAATTTTTAGATACAACACGTTACACTCCCGATTTCTGACGAGTGGGGCTCATCAATTTAGTCTGCAGCCCCGGATAAATATATAGTTTGGACTGCACTCTGTTCGCTTTGTCAGCCAGAAATGTCTGTAATTTACACAGCTGTAGGATGCGCCGACCGTAGCTCAACGTCAGTGTCAGAATCGGTTTGGTGGTTTAATTTCGCTGGTCGATAATCGTTTTCGGTGTCTTGTTTTGCTGTTTAAGCTTCGATGGTCGACAAGCGGGGGTCCCAAATACAAATCAGGGGGAAAACAACTTGTTGGAAGGCTGTGCTGATGCGAAAGCGCGTAGAGGCAGACTAAGAGAAAGCTGCAACAAGTCGTGACTTCAGGCCACTGGGTCAACCGTAGGGAAACGTAGTCGAGTGTGTGTTCGTAGTCGCCTGCAGTGAAACAGTGAAGGACGCGGCGCCGATCAGCCGGACTAGTGTTAAGTCTCAGCTACGACCACA